GGGGGGGGGGGGGGGGGGGGGGTGGGGCAGCTAAGGTAGGGGGAGGAAGGGGGATATGCTGTGGGGGTGGGTGGCTGTCTATCGGCTTGTTGATCAGCTGATCGGTGGGCTGGTAGGCAGAAATGGGGAAGCCATAGGAAGAGAGGGAAAGCTAGCTTTCCCTGTCTTCGTATAGGGGATGAATAAAAAAAGGGAAATATTCAACCCTTCATATTTGTGGGGGTCTCTGTAACCCACGAATATGACGGGACAAATATTTAATGAATCAGTGATTTCTGATGAATATCACGATCTGTTTTTTATTCATCCCCATATGTAATTTATACTGTTGTGAGTACAATGATTATTTACAGGGAGAGGCATAAACCACAGAAGCAAATTTCCACTACTTATCTTGTGCTAGGTCATGTGACTGATTCATAACAAGGAATACAATTGACAACTCATTAACTAGCAGCAATTTGTGGCTGTGATTTAGACCAGTGGTTCTTAACCTTTGTTACTCGGATGTTTTTGAACTGCAACTCCCAGAAATCCCAGCCAGCATAGTTGGTGGTGAAGGCTTCTGGGAGTTGCAGTCCAAAACTCCTGAGTAACCCAAGGTTAAGAACCAGTGATTTAGACCACAGCACTTACATCAGCATTAATAACCCAAAAGATTTTGGCTAAAGCTTCTGGGTGAACTCCTGGCTCAGATTAAACCCTCAGCATTTTCAGCCCTTCCCTGGGCTCTTCTTACCATATGCTTGTTGAAACTTTTCTGCTCTTTATCTTTTTTGTACCATAGAAAAGCATGCCAACCTAACTGTAAATCATGTCCTTTCAACTTGAGTAATCTATCATTATCTAAAGTTATCCATTCCTTTATCCAGACTAATGCACAGGCTCTATAATACAATACCCAATCTGGGAGACCAAAACCTGCTCTTTGTTTGGCATCTTGCATTGCTTTGATTTTAAATCTTGGTTTTTTACCTTGCCACACAAATCTCATGATTATCTTGTTAAGTTCTTGAAAAAAATGACTGTTTTAATATTATGGGAATTGTCTGAAATAAAAATAAAATTTTAGGTAGAATATTCATTTCGATGGTAGTTATTCTTCCCATCAATGACGGCTGTAATTTGTCCCATCTCTCTAAGCTATTCTGTATCTGTTTAATCAACTTCATATAATTGTCTTTAAATAATGTACTAGTTTTCTTTGTGATTTTAATCCCTAAGTATCTGACTCTCTTCTCTTCTTGAAAGTTAGTCCTTTCTATTAATTTCTGTCTTTCTTGATATCTCATATTTTTAACAAATTTTTTTGTTTTTTTTTGGTTTATTTTCATCCCTGCCATATCACCAGAATTCATCAGCATCTCCATCAGGTCTTCAATTGAGACCATTGGATCCTCCAATATAATAACTAGATCATCTGCAAAAGTTTGCAGCTTAAACTTTCAGTCCTTTTATTTCCTTTTTATCTCTAATTTGCTCAGTTAAGAGCCTTGTGGCACAGTGGTTAAACTGCTGTACTGCAACTAAAACTGTGCTCACGACCCGGGGTTCAGTCCCAGGTAACCGGCTCAAGGTTGACTCAGCCTTCTATCCTTCCGAGGTCGGTAAAATGAATACCCAGCTTGCTGGGGGAGGGGGCAATGTGTAGCCTGCATAATTAACTTGTAAACCGCCCAGAGAGTGCTTGAAGCACTATGGGGCGATATATAAGCAGCACGCTTTGCTTTTGCTTTTAATATTTCTAGAGCAAGAATTAATAGTAATGGAGAGAGTGGGCACCACTGTCTTGTACCTTTCTGTATTTGTATTTCTTTCATCAGTGCTCCATTGATTCTAACTTTTGCCTTTTACTGGGTATAAATTGCTTTAATTAATTTCAAAAATCTTTCTCCAACTTGTAGCACTTCCAATTGGTGTATCATAAAATTCTAATTCAGATTATCAAAAGCTTTCTCTGCATCCAAGAATATCATAGCCATTTGCTTTTCCAGGTGAGCTTCATAGTATTCCAAAGTATTTAAGATTATCCTTATATTAATTTTCATCTGCCTTTTTGGAAAGAAGCCCGATTGGTCTTGATGCATTGTCTGTATTAAGATTATTTTCAATCTAGTTGCCAACATGGTTGCATATATTTTGTAATCCACGTTTAGTAATGAGATCAGTCTGTAGTTTCTGATTTCTTTACCTTGCGTGTTTTCTTTATGGATGAGAGAGATTTTCGCTTTGGACCACTTTGGTGGCAATTCTCCCTTTTTTCTTCAATGAATTCTAAGAGTTTCTTATATGGTTTAAGCAATACATTTTCTAATTCTTGTAATATTCACCTGGAAGACCATCTGTGCCTGGTGATTTCCCATTTTTTTTGCTTTTGGAGGGCCTCTATAATTTTTGCATATGTTAAAGGCGCATTTAAGGACTGCATGTGATCTTTAGTGAGTTTCATTTTATTGTATTTCAGTACATATTCTTTCTGGGATTCTTTGTCTACTTCCTATTTACTATATAAATTTTGGTAGAAGTCCTCAACAATCTTTTTTATTTCTTCTTGTTTAAATTTCTCAGTTCCTGTTTCATCTTTCAGTGTTTGTATTATTGTTTTCTCCTTCTCTTTCCTTAATTTATATGCTAACCATCTGCCTGTCTTGTTTGGGGTTTCAAAAAAAAAATTGCTCTGCAAATTTACGCTTCTTTGCAGTATCCTCAGTGAGCAATATATTTATCTGGTGTTGTACTAACTTTATTTTCTCTTTCAGTTCTGTATTTGATGGATTTTGTTTCAGCTGTAGTTCATCTGAGGCTAATCTATTTTCCAAAATCTTATATTTTTTCTATCTTTCTCTTTTTTGTTTCGATGCAAATCTGATGGCTACTCCTCTAAAGAATGCCTTACTTGCCTCCCAAATCATTGTCACTGGTGTTTCTAGCCTCATGTTCTGTTTGAAGAAGTCCATGTCTTCTTTTATTTGCTTGATAATCTCCTCATTTTTTAAATGTGAAGTATTGAGCTTCCAATTAAATTCTCTTCATTTGCTACCCAGTTGTAATGAAATGGGACAGTGGTCTGCAAATGTGTTACGTAAAATATCTATTTGCTCCAATTCTTTCATTAGGCTTGTTGAGGTCCAACATGCATCAATTCTTGATCATGATTTATGTATGTTAGAATAAAAAGTATAGTCTTTTGTCTTTGGATAACATGTCCTCCAGTCATCTATGATATTTACTTCTTCCGCCAGTTGTAGAAAATTTCTTGAGATTGTTCCTCTCTCTTATTTTGGTTATTTTATCTGATTTTGTGTCTAATTCTTTGTGAAAAGCAGCATTAAAATCTCCTATCACACAATGGTGATCATAATCTTTGTTTGTTAATTCTAGTTGTAATTGTTTAAATAAATTATCTTGACTTCCATTTGGAACATAAATGTTAATAATTAGCCAGACCTTATATATTTAAAGTACCTTGAAAATCCTATTAAATAATAATTGTGCACCATCAAGTCAATTCTGACTTATGGCAACTGTTTTCCAGGGTTTTCTTAGTAGAGAGTACGCTGAAGTGGTTTAGCATGTTCTTCTTCTAGGGGCATTTCTGTGACTTTGTAGCCTGCCCAAGGCCACACAGGCTGGCTCTTCACCCTAGGAGGCACAGTGAGGAAACGAACTCCCAACATCTGGCTCCACAGCCATAGACTTAACTCACTGACCTATCCAGTCTGCTGAAAGTTCTATTAGGATTGCTGTAAGCAGGGTCAGAAGACCAAGCAGTCGTAAGATCGAATCCACGCGATGGAGTGAGCGCCTGTCGCTTGTCCCAGCTCCCGCCAACCTAGCGGTTCGAAAGCATGCAAATGCGAGTAGATAAATAGGGACCACCTTGGTGTTCCTTGTCTAAGTCGCACTAGCCATGTGACCACAGAAGATTGTCTTTGGACAAAAAGCTGGCTCTATGGCTTGGAAACGGGGATGAGCACCGCCCCTAGAGTCGAACACAACTGGACAAAAATTGTCAAGGGGAACCTTTACCTTTACCTTTAAGTTGACTCTAACTTGATGACACATAACAACAAAAATGGTAATGATAGCTAGTTTCGGCAGGTGCTTGGATCTGTAATTCAAATTAATGATCTTTTAAAAAATAACATCCCAAGTTTTGATCTTGTATTTGTTTTTGCCCCTCTTCCACTTATGGAGTACAGTCAAATCATTTCCCTTCACTAAGGCATAAGTACCACAATACATTTGTGATCGCCAACTTTTTAGAAACAAAGAAAATGAATTGTTCATGCTGGTATTTGTGTGCAACTTTTGCTGTTTGAACAGGAGTCTGAACTACTGTCATGAGCTGCAGCTTCGTAACAGTGTGGTTCAAATTTCTTTCTGGTTCTGAGCCTTATAATTAAACTGTAAAAGGAAAAGTGGGTAATTTGTTCTACTTTTCAAATTCCACTTACCTACGTTATACAATTATGCAGCAATTACATAATCTGTGTTTGGCCAGCGTAATGACAAGTCTAGAGAAAATATATTTTGATTTCTGTACAGTGCATGTATGCTTACTGCATAATCTCTTTTTTTCCCCAAAGGTGGCTAGATCAAGGAGAAGACGATGGCAAAATTGTTAGAGAACTATATGGCATTGATAATTACACCTTAGCAGTGAGTAAGTATCAGCCAGTGGCAGACCAGACGAGTTCTTGAGGAGTCATGGCATTACTTTATGAGCAACATACATCGAAGATCAAGATCCAGGCTTCACAATGTAAACATATTATCAGGAACAAGATATAAATTGTTTTGATACCCCACCCCACCCCCATACTGAAACCATCCAGGCAGAGTTAAATTATTACGCTCCAGCTGGGTGTAGTTTCTGGGCCAGTTCCAGGGACATTTTTGGAAATGAAGGGGCTTTAGATTCCATAGGTCCAAAGGTGACTGCCCTCCTTTTAGAACACTTGCATTGCCACAACCTTTGGTGGATTTCTGGATAGATAGGTGCTCACAGAGCTTTCCGTATGTCCTGAGAGCTGCTGTTCTCATGCTCCCTGCTGCAGCTGCTGCAGTTCCTTTTTTCTGGGTGAGCAGGGATTTCCACCCCATCCAAGCCTGCTCCCACCAGGAGATCTGCAGATTAGAATTGAAATGTAAGTGTTAGTGAACTATGCAAGATTTGTACATGGGAAAATAATATACCACTGATTCTTATAGAATGCTTTAATTTTTCTGGATTTTGTAATTTTTTTAGGACAAGAACTGGAAATAAAGAAAACAAAAATGGTAAATATCTATTTTTTTAAAAGCTTGTAAAAATTAACCACTGCACTGAAGAATTAATGCTGGGAATCATCTGTGCTACTTCTCTCCTCCCCCCATGAACGTACGCTTACTCTCTTTATGTCTATTTCTGTATGTCTAATACAGCTAGTTAGAAGAGGTGGTTAATAGACATACATTTGGTTTTGGGGAAGGAGGTCACAGATTACTAGCAAAGCATGTGGTATTTTGTACATATGAATTCGCGGGTTTGATCTTTGGCTTCTTCAGCTGGAGCATGATAAGGCTAAGGAGATCTTCTGACTGATAACATTGACTGTCATAGTAAACCATACTGGACTAGATGAATTTTACATCCTGTGAGTAATCAGCTTTACACATTGCCTTCTGTGTGATGACAGCTTGTCTATCTTTCCTTTACTACACATGCAGTGGGCAGCAGAAAAGTGGAAATTTGAGAAAGGCAATACTCTTCTGTTTTACAACAAGGTGACCCATGGTTTTATACGCATCAATCAAGAGGGAACAGTTGATGCCCTTGGCAACAAGAAAGACAAATATGGTAATTAACATTTATGTTTTCTGGTGTGGGCTAAGGAGCTGACAAAAACTTTTCCACACTTTTGCAGCTATACAATATAAGAAATAAGACTGAAGTGCTGTAAATTATTTAAATGCAATACTTTATGCTTTGCCATATTCCCACAGGTTTTATGGTCAAAAAGAAATATTACCTCTCAATCTACCTGACTTGCATTATATCACGTAGGCTGAAGAACCACACAGACACCATTGTTGAGTTTCAGAGGGTGAGAACAGTGATTTGACGGAAAATCCACGAACTGAATTCTAAGTCACAGAGCAATGGTTCCATGAAGCAGGCCCCTCCTTGAATTTTGTTTCTCTGAATCATTTTGCTGATTCATTGGCACATCTCCTGAGAAGCACATTGCATTGAACTACATGGAGATTGCTTCTGAAGCATGGGATTGCACTGTTTCCCTACTCCAGCACTAAATTATCAGGAAAACTTATAAATCTGCTTTTAAATAAAGTATCTTGAAGAATTATTTTTGCAATATGTTCTTTTTAAAAAGAAGGAAAGAGAGAAAGAAATTTAAATTCTAAAAATATCTTTTTTGTTAGTTCATTTTGACAGTAAGCTTGCACTTAACAACATACTGTGACTTAATATTTTTAACAAGTGCACTTCAGACACTACACTTTCTTCAGAAGAATATTTAACTGCTGAGTAAAATGACTTGCTGGAAGAATGCTTTGTACATTCTGGAATAATGCATGTTTTTTCTGTAAATACTCAGTAGCTTTTTACTATTAAATTAATTTCTGCTTTGTACCAAAGAAGAGAGCCATTTTTTTTGGGGGGGGGGGCAGTGACCATTTTGAATTCTACCCAATTCAGAAGTGCAGAAGCTCTACAGGAAAATAAAGAAAAAGAGGCACTACTGAGTATGTTTCAGTGATGTGTTCCGAAACCAAGATAATGAACTTCAATGTTTTGGTTACCAGGGTAACAGCATCTCATAAATTGAGATCTGGGATTTGAAACTCAAATTTTGATGCCCACTCTTCAGTCCTCAGGGTTTGATACCGAAGTCTCAGGGCCAAAGCCTGAGACCTGGCAATCATAAACCTTAGCTTTCTGATATAAAAAAATGCCAGAGCTCAAAGCTAGTTTCTGAAGTGAAACCTATCACAACTGAAGTGACCCAAAAACTCTTTCTCCTAATTCTGATTTCCCTGTTAGATAGAGTGTGAAATAAAGTACTGTATTTTTCCGTGTATAAGACTATACTTTTGTCTAAAATTTTTAGACTAAAAATTGAGGGTCGTCTTATACACAGAAGTAAGCTGAGGAGAGTACAAAAACAAGTGGAGGGGAAAACAAGGATCAAATTGTTCCTGCAGGGCTTTGATCCCTCCTTTCCCCTGTACTTGCTAATCTTTAGCAAAAGGAAAGCAGGAATCAAAGCACTGTAGAATCACTTTGATCCCTGCTTTCCCTTCTGCTTGCTAAGTCCCATGGGGCTTTACAAAAGGAGGGGGGAAAGAATCAAAGCAATCCCATAGCTGTATAAGAGGGAAAGTGATCAAAATGATCATGCAATTGCAGGATTGCTTTGATCTCTTTCCCCCCTCCTTTTGCAAAGCCTCACGGGGCTTAGCACGAAGCGAGAAAGCAGGGATCAAAGCAATCCTGCAGCACTTTGATCCCTTTCCCCCTACACTTGCTAAGCCCCACTCAGATTTCTTAATTTTGGGTTACAAAAATGGGGGGGTGGCTTATACATGGGGGCATCTTAAAGATGGAAAAATACAGTAGTAAGTTGTGGCTCAAATATACCAATTGAACCAGTAGAGTTTTGGGTGAATCAACACCTATGTAAGTTCCATTGGTTTAATAAGTCTCCTCTAGTTGTGACGTAGTATTAAATTTGAGCTAAATATGTTAAGAAATGCTCTTTGTGTTGTTTGCTAGAAATAATATGTCAGATCCCTAAATCTGTGCATATGGAATCTGGATCTATGGTACATATTATGGATAAGGGTACAATTTTGATTGACTTTCTTTGAATCTGCTCTTTAAAAATGTATAGCATGGATGAAGGGTTAAGGCATGTGAGCAAAAGTGATCTTTTGTAGGTAGAATATTTAGTCAATAATTAGGCTTGAGGATGTATTCAAAGCTTAATCTAGGTGATTCAGTTGTTTCTACCTTATGCAAGGGCAATGTCCTTGCAGATACAGTAAAAAAACAGTTGAGGCTTGGGAATTCATGACAGCATGCCAAGGGATGAAATGGCTTATTAAAACAAAATGATGATGGAACTTTATATAATCTAGTTTTGACTTTCAGCATTGAAAACAGCCTCCAGGACTGAGTCTCAGAGAGTATTAGCAAAGAGAGACGAATTTCATGGGCCATCCATATCATGATCTCCATGCAGGACACTGCTAAGATGAGGCATTTCCTTGACACATTAAACTAATTCCAACAGTACTATGGAAGCACTGTATGAGGGGTGCTGATAAAGGTCGAGCCTTTCCCAGAAAAAAATGAGCTAGGAAGCTATAAATTGCAGGGTGTATTGGCCAAATCAACTACCTATGATTTTAACTTATCTTTCGTGTTCAGGTCCAAAGTGAACATGGCAGCACCTCCAGAAAAGTTCAATGTGGAAGAGCATAGGACCATAATCAAGTTCCTCTTTCTCCAAGGGAAAGGTGCAAAGCAGATCCATGATGAAATGTCACAAACTATGGGTGACAGTGGTTCTTCATATGCAACAGTTAAATGTTGGATTGTCAATTTTTAAACTGGCATTTCGGTGTTCAAAGTGTGAAACCTAGTGAGAGGCCTACATCCATGACATGATTATGGAAGACCACCGGATATCAGTCAAAAGTATTGCTATATATCTGAGAATATCACATGAGAGAGTTGGTGCCATTATCCACAACGACTTGGAAATGAGAAAGCTGGCAGCAAAGTGGATCCCCAAACTTTTGACAACCGAACAAAAGAGGAAACATGTGGAGTCATCGGTGGCTGTTTTGGAACATTTTGCAAGAAATGAGTCAGATTTCCTGGGGCAAACTGGTAACTGGTGATGAGACATGGATCTACTGTTATGATCCTGAGACAAAGGAACAGTCTAAGTAATGGAGGCACAGTGGTTCCCCCAGGCCAAAAAAGTTCCAAGTGCAAAGGTCAGTGAAGAAGCAAATGGCAACAGTTTTTTGGGATAAGAAGGGAGTTCTGCCGGTGGACAACCTCCAACAGGGTTCAACCATCAACGCACAATATTACTGTGCTTTATTGATGAAGTTGAGGCAAAACATCAAGGAAAAATGTGGAGGAAAGCTCTCCAAAGGTGTCATCCTGTTGCATGACAATGCCTCATCACACACTGCAGGTGAAACAATGGCAAAACTGACGTCCTTAGGCTTTCAAGTGATGCCCCATCCACCCTATTCTCCCGACCTGGCTCCTTCTGACTATTATCTGTTCCCCAAACTCAAAAACACCTAAAGAGACAACAATTTGGGAGTGTTCTGGAGGCAACTAATGCTGCAAATGAATGGTTACACCAGCAGTCAGAAGAATTTTACTTACAGGGACTTAAGAAGCTGCAGGACAGATGTCGCAAGTGCATTGACTTCCTGGGGGAATATGTAGAATAGTGTGGTAGTTACAGCTTCCTAGCTCAATTTTTTTCTGGGAGAGGCTCAATAGTTCCCAGCACCCCCTCGTAATTCTAGAGGATTGAGATGGAATTAAGCTGGAATGTAGCCATCTCCACCATCATTTGAACTTTTTTCCTGGAATTGTTTGCAAGGTTAAAGATGCATGGCGAACTCTCAAGGGTCTTTGCAAGTTAATATAGCTTAATCTGTGACAATAACATTTAAACCAAATTGAACATCTGATTTCTTTGTCTATTAGTGGGAGTATTAGATTCTCAATTAATTCATCTTTTCATTGCAGGATCATGGAAACTTTTGTGTGTTTCCTCTGGTGGCTGATGTTCATAATTCTCTGGAGAAACATAGGGTATCCTGGTGCATGGAAAAATAAAGTAAAAATCAGTTGGTCAACTGAAGCTTTGATTCTCCTCATTGCCATATGCTGTCTTTTTTGAAGAGCAGATGTTTGTCTTTGCTACATTCCATGTGGCTCATGCTTGTATGAATATGATGTGCTTCTTCAAAGGAATAAGATACAGTTTGACTTTCTTGGACATGCCAATGTATGCTTGAAAGGAGAAGCAAGTGTGCCCACTTTTTGCCATATGTTGATACACAGAATAAAGAAGTTGCTTGGGCTTTTGATTTTATCTCTCACTTTGTTCATCAAATGGCAAGATGGCCTTTGAATTCCATTGCACCAGACCTGACAATCTAAGTCAAAAAGCTAAATAAAATAAAATAAAAATAAAAATCCAGTTGTATTTTGCAACTATGAAAATCTATATAGCATGACCCCTGCAAAGTAAATCTATGGATAAATAATATTAATAATATAATAGTTACATATTGTGAGATCCATCACCAAAATATCTAAACACTTCACATATCAAGTGAGAAGGGGCAGGTGTGTCACAAAATCAGTTAATACAGGTTGAAGAGCATAGCAAAAAAAATGTGAATGACCTAATCCATTTTTTCCCCTCTTGAACCTATTAGGACTTTTTGATGTGAATATGAAGAAGGGAAAAACATATATTCTAAAAAGTCACACAATGCCACATCTTGCGCTTGCTGTTGCTCATGGCACTGTCACTGGAATGGTACGAAAGTCTTTCAATATGTTCTTCATCTTTTGGACATTTAGATTTGTATTACAAATGCAACATAATGAATGATGAAATCATATTTCCACTAGAAATATGTGATTAATCTTATGCATATTTTTTTCCAACTTTTGAAGCTGTTTTTGTCTAAAGCTTCAAAATATCACAAAGCTTGTTTGGGAAGGAGATAACCCAAATACTGCCACTATCTTCCTAGTGATAGTTCATAGATACCACCGATGAAAAGACTATAGGATTTGTCCCTGCAAATTGAATGATGCAACTATGCAATGAATAATCAAGAAGTAAATAGGGGTGCCCTCATCTTATGCCCATGGATGTCCCATAGGCATCTGGTTGGTCCTCAACAGAACAGAATGATGGACTAGATGGACCTTTGGTCTGATCTAGCATGTTATGTTGATATCATTCTAATTAATATTAGGAATGTGTTTTTGTCATAAAAACGTTTTAATGTGATCTTTCGTAGACAAATCCAATTTCTCAGACCAATTAATAATAATAAGGTTTGAGGAAGCACTCCACAAAAGCTCACAACAAATATAGCAGTTAGCCTTTAACTTTCCACAACATTTCTTTTTCTTCTTTTATTTGTTTCTTTATTTCTTTTTTTTAACCTGATAATTTATGCTAGAAGACTACAGTAGGCTAGTGCTATCAGGTTGCAATGATCAAACAAGAGAAATTATGCTAAATGGTAAAATGAAAAGCTCGTGTTTATTGTTTCAGAAAGGCTGTAGGACAGGAGAAAACAAAAGAGAGTACCATACATAGATTTGGCTATAGAAATCCATAAAGTTCACTTCTATGCAGGGGAATATGCAGGTAGCCATATTGGTGATGATGTCATTCCATGTTTGACCGCTCCTCAAAAACAAAAAGAGAACCAAGACTGGCTAGCTTCTGCCATGGAGGAGCAAATAGACAAAATGCCAAATGTTTACTAATAAACAATGTTCTTCCTTTGCCACCACCACAATCTCTACTACTCATGAGTTATTATACTATCAAAAGTTTGCAGAAGTCTTACAAAGCACATTCAAGAGAAGGAGAGATTGGGATCAGATTAATATTTTACATAGATGACTTTTGATCAGAGCTGGGGGACCACTTCCCCTTCATGAGTTTGTTTAATTGTTTTTTTCGTTATTATGAATATTCCTGCTTATGCTTATGTTATGCATTATTGTTAACAGTAAACAGCACTACCTTAGTATTTACAAACAGTATTAGATCTGGCTAGTATAGCTTCAAAACACTGATAGGACACCGTAAAGGAAAGAATTTTTCATATACTGTAGTTGCAGATGGATTTCCCGTGTTGATGAACCTATGCTATATGCTATACTGTGTTGATGATAATACGTATGCTGCTGACATTGCGGAACTCTGAGCAAAAGTTCCAGCTCTTTATGCTCATGCTTTGACAACTTTGTTTTCAGCATGATTAATAGGTCGAACGGCCAATTAATCCTATCTTGCCCTTATTAGGACTATGGTGATATCCATTGTGAACTGCAAGTTCATGTTCAGCCAAATCGCTGTGTAATTCTAGAATCAGCCCAGAATGCAGGCCAAATTGTGGCTTTTAATTTCCGGGGCACGGTTGCTGATGATACCACAGGCTATGCAAAACTAACAAAGGAGTTTGTTGTCCATGTTAAGGTAAGACTTAGGGAGAGAGAAATTGGGGTGTGTGTGTGCTGTGGCTAACAACAACAACAACAACAACAACAACAACAACAACAACAACAAGTAGTAGTAGTAATTAATTGCACTAAAATCACTATTGAGTTATGGTAACCCTTGCCATAGTTTTCTAGATATAAAGGAGTCTGAAGTAGTTTACCAGTCCTGTCTCCTGAGGGTGTGCTGGGATGGTATTACTTGCCCAAGGCTACACAGTCTGGCTCTCTTCCCATGTTCTATGGTGAGGAATTGAACTCCCAACCTTCCATCCAGCTGTGCCATAATTTAAGCCAGTGGTTCTTAACCTTTGTTACTCGGATGTTTTTGAACTGCAACTCCCAGAAACCCCAGCCAGCACAGCTGGTGGTGAAGGCTTCTGGGAGTTGCAGTCCATAACTCCTGAGTAACCCAAGGTTAAGAACCAGTGATTTAAGCCCTTGAAATTCTTGAAGAGGTTTCAGAAGATGAGATATCTGCACCCACTAGATGGAGCTGAAGACTGTGTCTGGGATTTAATACCCATGAAACAGTTTTCAGAATTTTAATAAGAAAAGAAAAGAAAAAAAACCCACACACAAAACAAAACAAACAAACAAAGAAAACCCACAGAACAACATCTTTGTTGTTCCTCATGTTCCTGCATTATTTTGTTAAAGACACACTTAAAGCAGATGAGGGTGTGTTCTAGTACTTCAAGACTATCATGGCTGATACACAGTGTTGCTTTAATCATTGTGCCGTTCCCCTACCCCCAGTCCAATTTTTCCTAAATAAAAATAAAATATGTTCCTTCTTTCAAAGCTGTCTTTTGTGAGGTGCAGCACGAGCTTCATTTTGCTGTGCAAATACAATCTGTTCTCATAATTTCCACAACCCACTTACTTCTGGTCCATGTACCAGATCTTCCAGTTTTAACATAGTACACAGTGCAGCATAATGACTAGAGCTATGAGCAAAGAAGTCCTGCTAAACCTCTTTCAGAGCTTCCATCTGCAATGGAATGTCATGAGATGCAAGCCACTGTCACCGTCCATCAGCAGTAATACCAGTGTACTTAAAGCAGAGGTAGACGGACATTTACAGTTGAGGGGCAACCCCCCCATGGACCATAGAACGCTATACCCTACTTCAACAACCCCAAACTTTGCACCCAGAATTATAATCCTGGAAGTCTCCAAGAGAGCAGAAATCACAATTTTCGTAATATTTTGCCTTTCCCAGGCCCTGTTTTATGACAGAAAAGTATCCTAACTTCATAAGAAGAAGTGACCAACTGGTTATTTCTGATTTCTCAAAAGATCCTTTTTTGAACCCAAGTTAGGCATGGAATGATTATATAATAATTACTTAAAACTTTATGAAAAAGCTTCTGGAAGATACCATTTGTCATTTTGAAGAGATAGTGTAGTTGAAACATTTTGAAGGCATAGTGCAGTTGTTGCTGTTTATCCATTGTGAAGAACATAAAATGTTGCCATCTGTGGCCGAAAGCATGCTTTTGTGGGCATGATGGCTCTATTTCCCCCCTTCACACATGCCCCCCAGCTTTCAGAGGTTTATTTTCTTGGTCTTTAGACAGCTTTTTCAAAAACCCCTCTTCTAAGAAAATATCTATCTCATTGGACCTGTCAGGAAGATCACTATAATCATCATTTCCCTTTACAGGTAGGAAACTGAGGCTGAGAACTGAATTGTTCAAAGTCATGTACTAAATCCATGGCTAAATTCAGAGGCCAAAAGATTACTCCATTTATTAAAGCTCCAAGGTCCCAAAAGTGATTTGCCAAAGTAATATTAGCACTTTTAAGGAGCTCTACTATCCCATTATTTAAAAGTAACTAAAATAGTTAATAAGAATGTTATAACCTGCTGCTTAATTACATTGTGAGACCAGAGATTTCTTGTAAATATAAATGTAACTAAAACAAGTTAGTTGTTGTGGGTTTTTCGGGCTCTTTGGCCGTGTTCTGAAGGTTGTTCTTCCTAATGTTTTGCCAGTCTCTGTGGCCGGCAGCTTCAGAGGACAGCACTCTGTGCTCAGCCTTCGCGAATCCATAAAACAAGTAACATTACACTGTAGAAAGTCTGAAATGATCCCTTATTATAGTTATCATTCAAGTTAGGAGTTGTTATTTATTTATATATTTTTATTAGTTTTATTTATATGCTACATTTCTCCCAACAAGGGACCCAAAGCAGCTATATGTTATCCTGTAGTTATTGCATAAAAGAAGGATTTAATTACAAGTATTTTATATTTCTAACAATTTGAGATTTAAGCCCAGTTAATCCAGATCTGAGTTCAGTGCTATCTGAAAGTCTCTATGAATTTGGTAGTTTCTGATGCAGTTTCTTTGCTCCAAATATACTCAAAAAAGCATGTTTCTTCCAAAGGATGGACAAGATCCAGAAATAACAGAAAATTGTTGAGTGGTGTTCCTGAGACCACTATGTGTCATCATAAAGACTTTTATCTAACAGTACATTATCTATCCATGTATAAAATTAGAAAACAGGAACTCATGTGGCTGAATTCAGATTCTCTCATATTCACTTCAGTCATGCTTCTAGATAAGTACTGTACGTGTAATGTCACAAATAAATAAATAAATAAATAAATAAATAAATAAATAAATAAATAAATAAATAAATAAATAAATAAATAAATAAATGTTTCTGTTTACTGACTTTTTTTGTAGGTAACAAGAACTGAATAGTTACTACACTGCTCTGAAAAAGATATCTGTTGAAAAATGGAAGGTCTGAAAGGCAGTATTATTTACAGTTGATTCTCTTCATTGATTTTTAGGGAGTGTTCCATAACAGTGCCATAATATTGCTCACGACTAGCTACTGCCAGTCTCTTTGCCTGAGGTCTGATGGGAGCTGCAGTGGAGCAGGAAATCAATCTGAGGATTCTTACTGGAGAATACATAAAATCAGCTCTCGGGTGTGCATGTTTGAGAGTGCCAGACACCCTAGAATGTATCTGAGGATCAAGAGTGGCCAGTGTGATGGAAATGTAAGCAGTTCATTTTCACAGTTTTTCTGCAAACGTGGAAATAATATGCCATAAGAAGAAAGTGCTGTTCAATTGTGTAAGCATGAAAGAATCTGGCTAGATGTTGAGGGTACAAGACATTGGCCATCCATATTTAAGTTGTAGGTTTACAGATACATGTTCTAATGTCTGTTGCATAATATGATGTACCTATCTTATGACTGGCAATCTCAAGATGATATTAATAATGCTCCTTTTTCATAATAATTTTGAATCTGGTTTTAAGGTCAATGCCAATTACTGATTAAGGAATGTTAGCTATAGAATGCCCAGAATATTGTATCTTATAAGGATCAGTAGATTTGCAGTAATAAAAATGCCAAATGATAAATTAAAATGTCTCTTATAAAACAGTATGATGTTATTAATAAGATGGCAATGCTCTCAGATTCTTAACAATAACTTCTTCAGAACAAAGATAGACTAAGAGCAGAACAAATAGACTTATATAAATAATGATCCTGGGAAACCAATAAGAAGGTACTTACTATGGCGCCTGCATCAAATCCTGTTGGAAATGTTCTGTTTCAAAATGTACAGCATGTTGTATACTGATTTACATATACCTGTTCTGAAAGAAATTCATTCCAGGCTTTACTAATTATTTGCCTCTTTGTGTGTTGAACCTGGTTGGACAGCCAGATTCTGTTAGCATCACTCTGTATCTGTCCTCCCCAGTCTGGTGGTCGGCACTTGCTTTGGACTATAAGCCATAGAATCTGTAGCATTTTAATGTACATTCATTTTTACACATTTAGAAGCCAGAGAGCTTCAGGAACTTCATGTCTCTTCCCCTGCCCCCACCACGGTATTTACAGGAAATGTATTGTACCAATTGATTTTATCTATCCACCTGTCTATCTATATAAAATATTTTACCCAGCCTTTCTTCTTCAAAGGACCCAAGGCAACTTGCATCTTTAAAAGACAATATCAAAGCTACCAATAGTGAGTATACACATATTAAAAAGGATAAAATAAATGCCATACAAAAAAAAGGCAACACCAAAACACATTCAAAGCAGTAAGGTACAACAACCCATTAAAAAACCTCACTCAGAGAGTTGATTACCAATTTATTAAAAGCAGCCAGATTAATAAGAGCCAGGAATTGGAAATCAAAAGTTGAATTTCAAATGGAAGAATGGTATAATAAAATATGGAATATTGCTATAAATGAGAAATTAACTTGTAATTTAAAGGTCAAGAAAGGAGAGATTACAAATATTTTTATGATATATGGGACAGATTTATTGAATATGTGCTAACAAAAGGGAAAGGGAAAGTTCCAAATCAGGAATCAATGCAGCTCTGGAGATGATGACAATAAAGGAAGAAGAATAAAGACAATGGAAGAAGGAGACTACTGCAAGAGGTCCCGACTAGGGTGGTGGGGAACACAATTGATTTGCATTTTGGTTTATGTATTTTATGTTGTAGTTTATAATACAGTGGTGCCTCGCATAACGAGCACACCATTTAACAATGAATCTGCATAGCGATGCGGATTTTGCGATCGCTAATGCGATCGCATACTGATGTTTTATCGCATTGCGATGGGGAAACAGCTGTTCGGCGGTTCCAAAATGGCCGCTGGAACACCCAAAATGGCCACCAGAACACCCCAAATGGCCACTGGAACACCCAAAATGGCTGCCAGAACACCCAAAATGGCCACCGAAACACCCAAAATGGCCGCCGGAACATGGGGGAACATCGCAGAACGGTGAGTTTTGGGCCCATTTGGAATGCATTAAATGAAGTTTAATGCATTCCAATGGGCTTTTCCTTTCCGTTTAGCGATGTTTTCCCATAGCGAAGTTAATCCGGAATGGATTAACCTCGCTATGCGGGGCAGCACTGTGTTTTATTTTAAAAAAACCTACTTAGGCAGCCAGTCACTGAGGGAAAACTTGACTGAAGAGAAAATATTCACCTGCTTGTGGAAAGACAGCAAAGATGTGGTTAGGCTAGCCTGCTGTGGGAGAGAGTTCCAAAGTCTAGGAAAAGCAATAGAGGAGGCTCCCCTCCTATGTACCCACAAAATGAGCCTGTGAAGGTGACAGGACTGAGAGAAAGGCTTCTCCTGATGATCTTAACACTAAAGCAGGCTCATAAAGGGAGATGTGGTCCTTGAGATAGCTTGGGCCCAAGCCATGTACGGCTTTAGACAGTAGGTTAGAACCAACACCTTGAATTCAGTTTGGAAACAAATTGGCAGGCAGTGGAGCTGCTGTGCCAAGGGGGTTATGTGTTCCCTGTATCCAGAGATCACATCTGAAGCAATCTGGCTACTTTATTTTGGACCTGCTGAAACTTATGGACACTTTCCATTGGCAACCCCATATAGAGTGCATTGGTGCAATCCACCTGGGATGTAATTAAGGCATGTGTCACTGTGGCCAGAGCAGAGCTTTCTAGGAATGGTAGCTGCTGTGCCAAGGGGGTTATGTGTTCCCTGTATCCAGAGATCACATCTGAAGCAATCTGGCTACTTTATTTTGGACCTGCTGAAACTTATGGACACTTTCCATTGGCAACCCCATATAGAGTGCATTGGTGCAATCCACCTGGGATGTAATTAAGGCATGTGTCACTGTGGCCAGAGCACAGCTTTCCAGGAATGGGTGCAGCTGGTACACTAACTGTGCAAAGGCATTCCTGGCTTCCACCAAAACCTGGACATCTAGACCCAGAGACAAATCCAGGAGCACCTTCAAGTTATGTACCTGTGTTTTCAGAGGGAGTGCAACTTCATCCAGCACAGGCTGTATCATTATTCCCTTTTGACTGACCTGGAGCACCTCTGTATTGTCTGGATTAAGTTTCAGTTTATTCACCCTCATCCAGTCTATTACTGACTTCTGACACTGATCTAGAGCTGAAACAGCCTCCTTGGATTTAGATGGCAAGGAGAGACTGAGTATCTACATTCTGGTGACACCAAACCCCAAAACTCTGGACAGCCTTGGCAGTAGTTTTATTCAAAAATGGAATGTATAGATCCAAATATGTTTACAAGTCTGTAAAACTTTTACAAGTAAAGGCTTTAATACATCCACAATCGCTTTTTAAAAATGTCCAATGGATGTGTTTATGGGCCTTCTCTGTCACTGCTCCTAGACTCTGGAACTTCCTCCCATGGGACGCCAGGCTGGTCCTATCTTTACTGTTCTTCCAGAAGCAGGCAAAAATCTTGTGCTTTTAATTATGTACGCCAACTCACGTCCTTTTTAAGGAGAAAGATGGGGGTAAAATACTGTATCTTAAATAAATCAAATAAAATTTACCTCAAAATGGTGTCAACATATTTTTGCTAAATTAGTAAGCTTTCTCTCCCCCCTCCCCATGCTTATAGTTTTCACAAAATCTTAGGAAAAGAAAACTGGGACATTTCACTGTAAATCAGGTTAAATTTTCCTATACTGTACTGCTAAATGTATCAGAACTTCTCTGACTCATCTAACATGATTCACACATCCATGGATTCAGAACATTTGATATACTTGTAAGAAGCCTCCTCCTCAGTTACCAGAAAATGCATACTACTAAAGCCTCTACAAGTCTTACTCATCCAAGGGTAGACTTAGCGTTGTGCTCAGCTTTTCTCTCCCACAGCAAGATTTTAAGTTCACTCCATTTACCTTTCCTTCCCCCTCTGATCATGTTTCCACCTCATCTGTAGCTTGGCTTTGTCAGTGTTTCCATGCTATGGCCTCCTATTTAACATTTCTTCAGCTGGGTGCTCAGGGGGTTAGGTAATCATAGCAGTTGCATTTCCATGAGGCTTACACCAAGACCCAGGTCTATAGAACCTATGTCCTGAGCCCACTCCTGTACTGCAGTGAGTCCTGGACCCTTCATGCACGGCAGGAGAGAAAGCTGAACACATTCCATATGTGTTGTCTCCAACAGATTTTTAGTATAACGTGGCAGGACAAAGTCCCAAATAGAGTAGTCCTAGATGGAGCTGGAATTTTTAGCATGTATACATTATTGAAACAGCTACATCTACATTGGCTTGGGCATGTCATGAGAATGGCTGATGGTCGGATTCCAAAAGATCTCCTATATGGAGAATTTGTGCAGGGACATTGCCCCAGAGGGAGACCACAGCTGCGATACGAGGACATCTGCAAACAGGATCTGAAGGCCTTGGAAATGGATCTCAACAGATGGGAAACCCTGACATCTGAGCGTTCTGCCTGGAGGCAGGCGGTGCATCACGGCCTCTCCCAATTTGAAGAGACACTTGTCCAGTAGGCTGAGCAAAGAGGCAGTCCTGAAAGCAGCAAAATCAGGGAGCTAGACAGGGTACAGATTGTATTTGTCCTTAGTGTGGAAGGGATTGTCACTCTCGGATTGGCCTTCTCAGCCACACTAGGCGCTGTTCCAAGTCCTCCATGCAGAGCATGATACAGTCTCTCGAGACTGAAGGATGCCTAACCATCTTCAGGCAGATCTCTGGGGACTTTGTAGAAAACAAATCAGATCAATAACTAGATATTTGCAGGGAAGAAACTGAGCACCTTGTAATATTCTTACTCTTTTTCAAAACTCTGAAAATCAGCTAAGGTTGAAGCCAGTTGTAGTCCATGCAAATGCACATCCAGCTAGCTCGAGTCCACGATAAGCCTTAGAAATTACTACTTCATATTGAACTCCATTTTTTTTACTGAGACATAAAGAGTACATGAACAAACATCTTATATTCAATATTTTCTTTTAAAAACTGAATATAATGTTTTCCATAAGTGTGACACGTTGAGCTGTGTTTATGTTTGCTTACTCACAGGGCACAGGAGATGTGGACTGTCACTTCATAGTGGAAAATAACTTAGAAAGTGGCTCTGTAAGTCTGGAATCTTTACAGAACAGAGGAATATATGTTGGCCTTCTCCCTAACGGTCAGACAAAACCAGTCGTTCATACTGGAGAAAGCAACATTTTGTTTTACCCACAAGTTGTCAAATGTATGTATTAGTGTAATGATATCTTTAATAATTTATCATAGCAAGTAGTATTTTACTTAAAGCATATTTGTGTAATTCACTATTTTAAAAATTAGTGGTAAAAACTAAGGATAGATAGTATGGCATTTAAGGCATTCATACAAGGCTTGTTTATGAACAATGTGGTAGTGATCTTACTTAAACTGTGTTTCTGCATGTTTTTTCTATATCCAAAGAGTATACTGAAGCAATTTATGAAAACAAAAAACTGAAAATGCAATATATGATAATATATTCATTAAAACAATACAAATAAATACAAATATATTTCTAAAAATATCACCTAAATCGCAAAAGGAACAAGCTCTACATGTAACAACTGAAGTGAATCAATTAAACTGCCCAAATATCAGGAAAAAGCAAGTTTTTTTTCTCTTGGAATAGCTGTGTGGGAGAATCTGGGCTATTATTTTCTAATGGAGAAAAGTATTTCTGCTATATGACCTATAAAATGTAGATGATGATGATGATTTTAAAACACCAGGCACAGTCAATCAAAACAATAAAAACATTGGTATTATATAACAGATGCAAGTTTTAACAAAAAACCTAAGTATCTGTTAAATATCAGTGCAGTATGTATGCTGTTTAGAGATGGGGATGAATCACCATTTTGGTTAATCGTCTTGCTTTGTGATCCGTTAAAGTTGATGAATCATGAAGCACGAACCTCTGCCCATGAACCAACAAAGCATGAATTTATTTTTTTAAGCTAACTCCCCCACCCCTACAGCCTGCCCCCCTGCCCCTACCTTGCCTCCCTACCTTGGTGGTCACCACCACTGCTGCCCCACTGCTGCCCCACCACACCTACTGCCACACTGCTGCCCCCGTTCTACCGTGCTGTGCTGCCTGCTGCCACCCCCCCCACGGCCACCCTGCTGTCACCACTGCCTTAAGGCAGGCTAAGGGAATCCAGGCTGCCCTTTGCAAAGATGGCTGCTGCAGCTTCCCTACTCTAAATGAAGCCACAGACACCATCTTTGCAAAGGGCAGCCAGGGTCCCTAAC